CATCAGGCTGACTACTGTCAGCCTGTTTTCTTGGCTATCACTTCTCTAATTGCAAACACGTTACAAACAGGGAACAGCAGGATCATTGGACAGATATTGGTGCCTGATGAGCATGGCATGCATGGGGCTCACACACATATACAACATGCAGATGAGAAATAGAGAAAGCCAATAGAGAAGGAACTTTCTAAAAGTACCTGACACTTAGAGGGAGTGTTTACTGTTAGCTCAACCCTGGGAAGTTCTTTACTGATCACTCCAGACCTGGCTCCAGCAGGCAGGGACTAGTAGTACTTCCATTCAGCTCAGGAATCAGAGGCTTAAAGAGTGAAGCAATTTGATCTCCTCTCTCCCGTGCCGCAATCCTACCCAACGTGTTTAACAGTCTCCCCAACTCCACCATGTCCCTTTCATCAAATGACCCTGCTTTCACTTTCGGGGGAAAATATACAAACTTCCCTCTATTTGCTCTGCCTTCCTTCCTCCCACCTTTATGTGAAGGTGCCTCCTCTTCCCCAGGACCATGCCTACAGTATTCTAAAGAGGACACATCTCATCATCTCCAACTTCCTTGCCACACTCACTCACTTTCACAATTCCTCCTACAGCCTGTTCTCTGAAGAAGAAAACAAGACATGCTCATTGTGTCTGGGCTGACAGCTGTAATCTCAGGGTTTAGGAGATGAAGCCAGGAGGTTGAAAAGTTCAAGGTCATCTTCAGCTAAACAGTGAGTCTGAGGGCTAATCTAGCTGGCATGAAACAGCATGACAAAAGAAAACACACAGGATAACGCTTTCTTCCACTTCCATATAGGAACTGTTCATAAATTCCTGAACAAATACATTTATAGACTACCTACTGTGTGCCAAACAATCTATCCGAATGTAGGAGCTACAGGGTTCCTCATGCTCACAGAGAAGCACTAGGGAACTAGGAATGTTAAACACACAGGTCTGTCTTCTGCAAAGGGAGAGATCTACAACCCGTTTTCACCCAGAAAGCTAGTTAATAGCCTGGTGACCTCTGCTCCATCTGTGTGGCTGAGGCTGAGACAATACCCAACCCTCCCAGACACTTACATGAGCTGGTCAATCTTCAAACCCATCTCTATGGACGATCTCATATGTACTTTGCAAAGAGTTTTGATTTCTTAAGTTTTATGGGGTTGACTCATTTATCACCAGCAAATCTTTCACTAAAATGTGTTGTGCTTAAATATGCCTAAAAAAAAATCTACTGTGGATGATAGACTCCGAATACTGGCTTCATAGTTGTGTTGAATCAAACTACCTTTCTGCCCCCCAAGGAGCTTTGGGGGGGCATGTTAGGCGCAAGGACCCTTGAGCCTCAGTAAACAGTGAGGGCTTCTGCCAGAAGACAACTTATATTCTAACAGGCAGATAATGAACAATACACATAACAAATTATATAAGATTCTTTTTTTTTTTTTTTTTTTGGTTTTTCGAGACAGGGTTTCTCTGTGTAGCCCTGGCTGTCCTGGAACTCACTCTGTAGACCAGGCTGGCCTCGAACTCAGAAATCCACCTGCCTCTGCCTCCCAAGTGCCAAATTATATAAGATTCTTAAAAGAAGTAACCAGCTGGCTGGTAGTGATGCACACCTTTTAATCCCAGCACCTGGGAGGCAGAGGCAGGCAGATCTCTGTGAGTTCAAGGCCAGCCTGGTCTACAGAGCAAGTTCCAGGACACACAGTGCTATAGAGAAACCCAGCATTGAAAAGGCAAAAAATAAAGTGACCATTGGCATAAAGAAGAAAAGTAACTCAAGCAAAGGGTGTGGGAAAAATAATACAAATGTTTTTCATTTTTAAAAAAGGATCACAGGTGTGGTGGCACCTTTAATCCCAGCCATGGGGAGGCAGAGGCAGGTGGATCACTGAGTCTACAGAGCAGGTTCCAGGGCAGCCAGAACTATACAGAGAACCCTTTCTCACAAAACAAAAAGGGAACAATTAAAATCTTTTGGAAGCATGGTGGGCATGGTGGCACTTCTTTAATGCAGGCACTTGGAAGGCAGAGGCAAGCAGATAACTATGAGTTCTAGACTAGCCTGGTCTACACAGTAAGTTCCAGTCTAGCCAGGGCTACAGAGTGAGACCCTGTCTTAAAGGAACAAATGAGCTCTGAAGAGACTGGCCAACATGTCTCTGGCACTGCAAGCAATCTAGTGTGTTGTAATGCACTGAAGAGGAGATGAAAGGTAGGACATGAGGTGAGAGAAGGTGGGGAGGTTGGCTAGAGTCACAAAGCTTCTGGAGGGTTTCCTGTCCCACTACTGGCTCTCAGACAGAGGCATCTCTGGGTATCACTTTGAAGATCTATGGATCAGTGCCCTAGGTTCTTGTTCAATGGAAAAGACGTGCGACTGTGGGAGCCAGACCAGGGCAAGAGTGTGGTGAGTGTCCAGACCCTGGCAGGAGTAGGACTGTTTTCCTCCTTGCTCTGGGCCTGCATATCCCAGAGCACAAGGCTTATGAGCCCTACCTCCACCACCCTCGAGTTAGTCACATAGCCAGGTGGCCAAACTACAGGTTGAACGTCTTTTCTCCCTATAGGGAAACGTTCAGCAAGCACCTGGAATTACTCCTCATACAAACGAAGCATTATATATTCATATCGGCACCAGCCAATAATGTACACCCACCCTGAAAATTCCTACCCACTCCCCAAGGTTTATATAGGTCTTGTTACCCCCAATAAAGGAGACCTGTTTCACTGAAACCTGTCTCCAGAAGACTGTTTCTTCCACATCCCCCAGCCTGGTGAAGCCTCATTTCTTCCAGTCCAGCCTGGTGTGCAATGTGCTTTGATATCCAGAGGCCACAGTCTCATCCTCTCATCGTGCTCAAACTGCCTAATTTTTTCCCCACAGAGCCTCACTACGCAGCCTTGGCTGACCTGGAACTCTACCTCCTGAGTGCTAAGGTTAATGGCTTTGCCACCACCATACCTGGCATCCTCTATTGCAGCTTTTATGTCAATTGTAACGTCAAATTTACTTTTGATTCTTTTGGTCAATGTTTCCTTATTCTACTTTAAATAAAACTGTACCTTGGAAGCCAAGCAGGATGACTATGAACTCTGGTTTCATCTCAAAAACACACACAAGCCTAGGCTGGCAAGATAGTTCAGTGGTTAAGGGCATTAGAGCAGACGGCACAGAATTGGATTTCCAGCACCTGACAATCATCTGTAACTCCACTTCCAGGGGACCCAACACCCTCTTCCAGCCCCATGGGCACCAGGGACTCTCCCTGTGCACAAATATATATTCAGGAAAATACTCATATATATCAAACAAACATGGGCACAGGAACCCTGTGCATATACTTTTGTACAGGAAAAGTCATATATATTAAACAAACAAAAAGTAAGTTTAAAAAAAACCCCACAACTTTGAGTGGAGATGTGGGTCAGTGAGTGACTGTCTAGTGTACATGAAGTCCTGTGTTCAATCCCCAGATCTCTCGTGGCTGCACAGCGAGGTTCTTATGAGTTTTGTTGATAGCATCCACATTGGACTGCTCCAAACCGGCTGTAACATTAGCCCTAGGCGAGGGCTGGGGATCCGTGTGTTGGAGGGTGGGATCCAACGCCTGCTGCCTCCACGAGTGAGTATCTGCACTCGAATACACAACCCCACACAGAAATGATTCACGTAATTTAAAATAACAAGTCTCTTTTAAAAAGGCAAACCAGAGTGGTTGTGTACACCTATAACCCAGCACTCCAGGTGTGGAGACTGTTTTTTTGTTTTGTTATTGTTTTTTGGCTTTTAGTTTTTTGAGACCAAGAGTTTCTCTGTGCAGCCCTGGCTGTTCTGAAGCTCACTCGGTACACCAGGCTGGCCTTGAACTCAGAGATCCATCCGCCTGCCTCTGCCTCCTGAACGATGAGATTAATATCGTTCACCACCTCACCCAGCCTGGTTTTCTTTTTAAGAGAAGTTGGAAGCCAGCCTTTGAGTTCCTATCTTTTGTTGTTTTGTGTTTTTTTGAGAGAGTTTCTTTTCTCTATGTAGCCACTGGCTATCCTGGTATTTGCTCTGCCCCTACCTCCTAGTGTTGGGATTAAAGGCATGTGGCACTACTCTAGACCAAGACCTATCTTAAAAATGAACCCTCGACCCCAAACCTCTATGAGAGGTCTCTTCTGTTTCCTCAGAGCCCGAGCCAAATATACTTATTATACACAATACAAACTTGTTAAATGAATTAATGGGATGGGAGAAGAGTCAAAGTCAGATTCCTTTTCCAGTGAGGTCAGGTAACGGTGCATATTAATGACACTTCCCCCACCCAAATAGTTGAGTAAGGAGAAATCTGGTTTGGTGGGGCCAGAGGACACGCCCTAGGATGGGACTGATTTTCCTCATTGTTACTACCGGTCTTATGACGGGTCAAATTCAGACAACCTGGTTCTTCCTTGCCATTGTACTACCAAAGCCTCAACTCAAGTGAAATATCTTTAAAACATTCTTGGTCGCTTTATCACTTCTATACCTGTGTCCTGTAGAACCCTTCCCTCTCCTTCCTGATCTTTCTGGGCTTGTAGCCACGCTCAGAAACCCTTTACTCCCGTGCACCCCTCTCTCCCATACTCCTAGGCATGCTTTAGCTCAGCGCAGGGAGCATTCTTTCCCCTAACCCAGCGCCCGGGAAGCCTGCGCTGCCCACGCCAGCCCTGGGTTGTGTAGGTGAAACGATCTGCTGTAATCTAAAAGTTCCACGTTCCCGCCACAACAAGCGGAAGAATAAATTACCTCCTGCGCAGTCTCAGGCCCGCGGCTCCCGAGAACCCTCCAGGGGGCGTGGCTTCGCTCAGAAGGGACATCCAGCCAATAGACACTCAGCGCGCGCAAGGCCCACGCTGCCGCCCGGCCGGACCACTCGGGACGGAAGTTGACCCTACGACACCCAGACGCCGAGACCCCGCCCCATCCTAGATCGGAGTCGCTCTAGGGAGACGAAACGGAAGTCTCTGCGTACCTACAGAAGGCTGGCGAGGGGCATCATGGCCGCGGACAGTGACGGTGGTGTGTCTTCAGTTCCAACGTCCTCTGATGGTGAGCGGCCTCCTAGGGGTAGCCACAGAAGCCTAAGGGGTCCTGTGGAGGGAAAAGCCTCGGGTCGGTAGTTCGGAGATAGGCCTGTAGCTTCGGCTTACCTCAGTTTTCCTAGACTACAACTCCCAGTGTGCAGCGCGTGCAACTCGAAAACTCAAAGTGTGGGATTGTAGAGCAGTGGGGGCGTTTTGAGAGGTGGAACCGGAGATTTGGATGGAGCCGATGGTTGTTCATCGGTAATACTAGAGCAGTGTGTAGTTGTCCACGGTAAGTGGAGCTTGGGTCTAACTTTGAAGCACTCTGGTGGCTGTTGAGGCACCATGTATATGTGGCTTTATGGGATCTGTTTGTGTTTGAGATAGGAGTGTAGTTCAGGCTAGCCTTGAACTCAGGGTCCTTGAGCTTTATGCTCCCTAGTCCTCGGGTTACAGGCTGGAGGATAAAGAACCCGCAAAGACTACGTACTCCACTTTTCTCCTGCTTATGATGCAAAAAGAAGTGATTTTCCCAGTCCCACATAAAAGCACTGGAAGACACAGATGCCCTCTTTCCAAATTTAGGGCACTGTCATTTCAAGGCTTGTGTTTAGAGCCGGTAGATGCAAAATCTTTAGGGGAAAGCTTGTTAGTGGGCACCCCCTCTCCCACATCTAGCTTGGTGTTCGATCCACTGGGACCTTGTGAAAACCTCTAAATCCATCAATGTCCTTATCCCAGGTGGTGTCAACAAAAACACACAGTCTGCAGAGGAGCTTGTAGTTCGGGTTCCTGTGGTAGATGTGCAGAGTGACAACTTCAAGGAGATCTGGCCATCACTCTTGCTAGCCTTAAAGACAGCTAGCTTTGTGGCTGTGGACACGGTGAGACGTGGGGGAAAGGGAGGGCAGGTGGTTGTGAAGGGTTTGGCAATGGGTGTGGAGGGTAATCGGTCTTCCTTTACCCACCCATAGGAGCTGAGTGGGCTTGGGGATAGGAAGAGTTTACTGAACCAGTAAGTATAAGCCTTGTCTGGAATCCCAGCTCTTAACACATATGTAACACAACTTAACACAACTCTAAAGTTAGGGGGTGCCAGCCCTGGGTAGTTTGGGTCCTTTGTGAAACTAACTCAGCCATAGCCATGCCCAAACCCAACTCTAAGGTGCATCGAGGAGCGTTATAAGGCTGTGTGTCATGCTGCCAGGACCCGCTCTGTCCTGTCCCTGGGCCTCGCCTGCTTCAAGCAGCAACCAGATAAGGTATGAATTACCCTCATCCCAGGTCTGAGGCATGGAGCATAAGAGTTGAGATTTTAAAGAATGTTGAGGTTTTTCCTCCCGATTTTTGGCAAAGCAGATCCTCTTGTTTTTCAGGGTGAAAATTCTTACTTGACTCAAGTGTTCAATCTCACCCTACTGTGCATGGAGGAGTATGTTATAGAACCAAAGTCTGTGCAGTTCCTGGTACAGCATGGTTTCAACTTCAACCGGCAGTATGCTCAGGGTATCCCCTACCATAAGGGCAATGACAAGGTAGGTCTCCAGCTTCCTCTAGCCTTGAATTCAAGCCCTCTGTGGTTTATTTCTTGCTTCCATAGGCCTGGGGACATCTGTGTGTAAGTATGGGGAGTCATTGGTGACAAGGCTGGGGAAAGAGACCTTCGGGGAAGGGCAGCATGGGGTTAGGTAATGAGGACGTACTTTCCAGGTGGGAAAACTGGGTAAGTGTGCTGCCCAGGGTGCTGACTGGGCATTTTGTCCTTCCCACTCACCCTTTCCCTTCCACCTAGGGAGATGAGAGCCAGAGCCAGTCAGTACGGACACTGTTCCTTGAACTCATTCGGGCCCGTCGGCCCCTTGTGCTACATAATGGCCTTATAGACTTGGTGTTCCTGTACCAGAATTTCTACGCTCACTTGCCTGAGAACTTGGGAACCTTCACTGCTGACCTGTGTGAGATGTTCCCAGCAGGCATTTATGACACCAAATATGCTGCAGAGTTCCATGCCCGATTTGTAGCTTCCTACTTAGAATATGCTTTCCGGAAATGGTGAGAACATGGTTGATGGAAAGGGGTGGGGCCTGGAATGAGCCTATTTCATTCACTTACGATTATTTATCTAGTACCTACCATATGCCAGGCACTGTTTTCAGGTGCTGAGGATTCAGCAGTGAACAAAGCACAAAGTCCCTGTTCTCATGGCGCTTGTATGCTAGTGGAGCAATACCTTCTTGCGCTGTTGCAGTGAGCGGGAAAATGGGAAGCAGCGGGCAGCTGGCAGCCCACATCTTGCCCTGGAATTCTGCAGCTATCCATCTAGCATGAGAGACCACATTGACTACCGCTGCTGTATGTCCCCTGTGACCTGCCGTCGTTCTCATACCACTGGCATTTGTGACAAGTTCTCGGTGAGAGTATAAATCTATTTCTTGGGGAGGGAAGGTTCTGATGTATGGAGCCCTGTCTTACACTCTTTCCAACCTCCAGGCCTATGGCTGGTGCCCTCTAGGACCACAGTGTCCCCAGTCACACGATATTGACCTTATAATTGACACTGATGAGGCTGTGGCAGAGGATAAGCGGAGGCGGCGGCGACGGAAGGACAAACGAAAGAGGGCTTTGCAGAGCCAACCAGGGACACAGACTCTTGAGGAAGCTGAAGATGGTCCTCCCACAAAGCAGGTCTGTGAAGATAGCCTCCAGACTGAGAACATGGAACAGATAACGGCAGAAGGTCAAGCTAGGGATCAGCTTGGCTCCAGGCAAGGTCACACAGGTAGCTTGGAGATGGCACATAAGAGGACAAGTTCTGAAGCAGCTGATGTGGCCACCTCAGAGCTGCTGGTGAACCAAGCCAGTACTAATCCTGTACCTGGGGATGGATTGCATCGTGCTGGCTTTGATGCCTTTATGACAGGTTATGTGATGGCCTATGTGGGTCTGAGCCAGGGACTTCAACTCTGCAGCTCTGAACCTTGGCTTCCTGAGTGTCACAACAAGGTATATCTAAGTGGCAAAACTGTACCCCTCACAGTGGCCAAGAGCCAGTTTTCCCGTCCATCCAAAGCCCACAACCAGAAAATGAAGTTGGCTTGGGGCAGCAGCTGACTCCAACATCTGCCTGATAACTAGGCCCAGGGAGAGGAGTTAGAGTAGAAGAGAGGTTTGGCAAGGTGTAGTGGTTTGTGTTTGTCATCCCAGGAACCTTAGGCTGAGGCAGGAGGATTATTACAATTTCATGGCCTACATATTCTAAGTCAGTCAGAGCTATATAGTAAAGTCATATTTCAAAAAGAAGTAATTTGAGTCTTTAGTCTATGTATGTCACATTTAACTGCTACAGAGTTGTCAAGCAAGTCCTGGCAGACACTGAGTACTTCAATACTGTTTTCTTTTGCAAACTCCGAGGCCTGGGTACAAGGGTACAAATAAGGCTAACTAGCACCTGCAACATCAACTTTATTATTATTTTTTTTAATCTTAGAGTGTTTTGGGAAAAGTTTAAAAAAAATCAACAGAAATGAATTATGAAAATATTTGACCAACTTCATTCTTTGGTTATTTCTTATTGCGGCTCTGTAAGGACAGACTGTTCCCAAAGCTCCAGCTACAGGAGGAAAGAAAATCAGTCCAAGTATAAACCATTACCTAACAGGCTATATCACCTGTTGACACATACGTAGAGCAGGCCCTAGGGCCTACAAAACCTGCCCCACTCCCAACGCCAAGGTTGAAAGTTTTGAGGCAAAACATTAAGACTCCTTTATAAATATGAAAATAGATTAATCAACTGGAAAAGTCTTTGAATAGGTTAGCTAAAAGATCCTTGATCACCACATTGCCTTGTCTCCCCCTTGCATAGAGATGTAGTGATGTGGTCTGACCATACAGTAAGTGCAAACAGCAATTATTCAAGTGTCTTAGACGTACTGGCAAGAAGCATCCCAGTCTTCAGGTCTAAGAAACGGCCACGCCCCTAATGGCCTCCTAGTCAACTCCAGTTTCTTCCATCCTGTAGCTTATATGCCCCAGAATCGGCTCAAGAGACTTGGAGTAGGAAAGGAACTGGGGTGATAGCTACATGGTACCTGCCAGCCTAGCCTAGAAATAAGAGTTTTTTGGTCCTGTCTAGGACGTGCACTGTGGTTCATGGGAGCCAAAGCTCCTTGCTGGATTTCAGAGGCTTAGAATTGGGTTGGCCCTAACTATTAAAACACCTCATATTGCAGCCATTGGGCACTAAAAGCCCAATTTTAAGCCAGGCCTTTCCCAGCCTGCCTGTCTGCTCTACCTGCTTTGTACGGGAGAGTTCCAGGGAGGAGTGAGGCTGTGCACCACGAGGATCCAGTAGTTTCAGCTCAAAGTTCATCCCCAAGGTGAGACAGGGACTAGTCCTGCCCCCATCTCACCCGTCCTGCTCTCCCTGGGTTTGCAAGCTTATTCCAGAGATAGAGAAGTGGACAGGAGCTCTTCGTGGCCTTTCTTCTTCCACCTCCATCTCCTCAGAGGCAGCCCCAGTGAATGGGCTGGTCCCCTTAGGCCTGGGTCCAAAACCGTTTTCTTCTTGGGGGTTAGAGCAATCCATGGCCTCGTGGCCTAAAGCAGCTGATAGGGCAGATGTCCGGAATGGTGGGATCTCTCTTACTCTGTACTTAAGACTACTGAGTCTTGGTGGAGGCCCATCAGATAGTGATTCTTCACAGCCCACAAATGGACAAGCCTGATGCAAGAACTCAGGTGAGCCAGGCAAAGACCGCCACCGTCTAGAAGATGTGGCCAAAGGCTCCTGACAGTCAGCCAGAGGCGCAGTTCCAGGCCCTGGTGCATCCAGGTCAAATACAAGGGAAATGACAGATTTGCTGGGTAGGTCAAAGAATTTGATCTTCCCGCCCTTGAGGTCTTGGCGTGCACTGAAAGGGTTGACTTTTGGGGTATGTGTAGCACCATCTCGTGGCTGGTAATAAGGGTCCAAGACATTGACTGTCCGTGGGGGCTTACGAGAAAAAATGTCTGACTGGCTTCGTGACAGCCAGATAGTACGTCTTGGACGTGGAGACTTATGGGGAATCTTGTCATCCAATGAACTCAGTCGCTTCCCTCCAGGCACTTTCTCCAATAGCCCTGAAGAACAGTAAGGCTGGGTTACTCTCAGTCAATATAAGCAGCATTTTTTTGTTTTTGGTTTTTCGAGACAGGGTTTCTCTGTGTAGCCCTGGCTGTCCTGGAACTCACTCTGTAGACCAGGCTGGCCTTGAACTCAGAAATCCACCTGCCTCTGCCTCCCAAGTGCTGGGATTAAAGGCGTGCGCCACCACCGCCCGGCTTAAGCATCATTTTATTAAGTACTTTTTTCTTGAGGAAAATGTGCCTAGGTATTTGTCCCATTTAATCAGTTAGTGAGCAAATAGGGAACAGGGAAGCAGTGTGACAAGTCGCACCTGTAAGAGAGCCTAGTACTTTACTGCCCATGACCACTGCCCTCCCGCTTCTGAACCAGGGACCTTCCCAGAGGGAATGTCCCACAGTCTCACCCCTCCCTTTTGGGTCAGGTTTGGGGTTCTGATCTGATCTCTTACCTTTAGCTGTGGGCTGCAGCTTCCTGTCCCTCTCCAACTCTTCTTCCTGTAAGCGGCTCATAATTTCCTCTAGGGTCTTCCCAATCTCCTCAAAGGATGGGCGTAGTTTGGGGTCCATCTGTAAGCATCCATACCAGCCATGAGCCCTATACGCCACTACTCAGTGTGAATCTGTTTCTGGCATCTTTTAAGACTCAGGTTGAGTAACTAAAGTTTTTTCTTGCATTAGGACTGGCTGGTGTCAGTAAAACCTGACAAAGCTTGGTTTGTCAGCATTCAAGGAAAGCTGTGGGTTTACCCTGCAGGCTGAGGACTGAAAAATAGAAGACAGCTTTTCTTTCTTTGGTCCAGGGTTCTCTGGAGAGGCAGTACAGACCAGAGCAGGAAATAGGGCTGGTGTTAGACATCTGGGAAAATGATGGCACGCGCCTTATGAGGCAAATGTGTAGCCTTTCCCTACATCCTAGCCAAATGAAAAGGACTCAGCTAGGACCTGAGCAAACCAGCTGAAGAAAGACACTCACATTACAGCAGTTGAAGGTGAGCTGCAGAAAGTCTGAGGGGCAGTCTCCCACCATGTGCTGGAAAGCATCATAATCCAGCCCGAAATTCTGTGGATGAATAAGTACAAAAGTCATTAATTACACACATGCTCAGAGGCTGGGAGCTGCCTCAGAAATAAGAGTAGTGCCAGCAACTCCACCCCAAGGATAAAGCAGTCCCATAGTCAAGCCAACCCATCCCTGTAGTATGTGTTCCATGCTGGCAGCTCACCTCTGTGCGGGGAAGATAGTCCGGATCAGCTTGGATACGGGCGATGATCTCACAGAGGATGATACCGTAAGAGAACACGTCTGCCTGGTAAGTAGTCAGACCTCAGTTTTCCTCAGTGGAGTGAGGAGTGGAATACCTTCCCTGCCTCACCCCCATCTCTTTTAACAGCCTAGGTCTAAGCTGTGTTACCCATATTCTGTCCAAGTCACCCACCGGGTAACTGTCAGATGCTAGCATAAATGATACAGATCCTTACCCGGGCCACAAAGGATAATCAGGTCTTAGAATCTCCAGACTTACCTTCTCATTATAAGGTTCATCTCGGAGAACTTCAGGTGCCATCCAGAAAGGTGAGCCCACCACAGCTAGCTTCTCACTCCCTGTACTGTGAAGTAAAGAAACTTTGCCAGTGCCTGGTATGCATCACCATGCCTGGTTTGTGTGGTGTTGGGATTTACTTGGCTTTGTGCATTCAAGGTAAGCAAGCACTATACTAACTTGCCTATGTCCCGAGCCTTTAGTCTTTGTTGTTGAGACAGAGGCTCATAAAGCCCTTATTGGGCTCAAATTTGCAGTGATCCTTCTGCCTCTGCCTTGAAAGCACTGGGATTAGAGTGTGCCACCATGTTTGACCATGCAATCAAAAAGCAGTGGGATTATAGGAGAGTGCCGCCATGCCCGCCTAATTATAAGATAAGCAGGTCGTTTGATTGTTGCGGTTTTGTTGCTCCCAAGGGTGGAGGGTGGGTCTAGACTTGGAGGGGTCAATTCAAGGAATGACCCTGAGCTGTGGCTGGGTCCTGACTTCTGGGAATGAAGCTGGGGTTTCCCTTCGTTTTGACCATTACTGTGTCTTAGTATCCATTAGGGTTACTCACCTAGCATCAGGAATCTTCTCAGCCAGGCCAAAGTCAGCTACCACTGCAGAGTAACCATTTTCATCTCTCTTTATCAGGCAGTTCTAGGGTTCCCAAAGCAGAGAAAATAAGGTAGCTTAGAAGGAGGGATTAGCCAGCCATAGCGTTAACACTAGTGCCTCCTACAAGAATATCTTGTCCTGTTTATTGGTGAACCACACACGTAAGGTCAAAACTGGGGACTTTAATATAGCAAATAAGGTTGAGTGTGATGGTACAAGCCTTTAATCTCAACACTGGGGAGGCAGCAAGTTCCAGGCTAGCCAGGGTATATAATGAGACCCTGTGTGTGATGGTTATTCTTGGTTGTCGAATTAACTAAAACCCAAGTGGCTGGGAAAACCTGTGACAGATTTTTTTCTCTAAACTATTTCAAGTGGGAAGACCCACTTTCTTCTCACCTCTAAACTGCCTCACAACCCCTGCTGGCATCCTATATATAAAGGACCTAGAAGGAAGACACTTCCTCTCTGCCTGCTTGCTCTTACTCTGACAAGCCCACATCTTCACTGGCATTAGAGTCTACTTGATATTCTGGTCAGCTGAGACATCAGACTGAACAGCTACTGGATTCTTAGTCCTTCTGTTGGTAGACAGCCATTGTTGGACTAGCTGGACCACAGCCTGTAAGCTATTCTAATAAATTTACTCATTTTGTAAGTTTTGTTCCTCAAACCAGTGTTCTCAACCTTCCTAATGCTGCAACCCTTTACTACAGTTCCTCATGTTGTTGTGACCCCCAACCATAAAATTATTTTTATTGCTACTTCCTAACTAATTTTGCTATTATTATGAATTGTAATGTAAATATTTTTGGAGGTTTGCCAAAGTCATGACTCACAGGTTGAGAACCACTGGTTTAGAGAACCCTAATACATCCTATCTTCCTCCCACTGGTTTAGAGAACCTTAATACACCCTATCTTCCTCCTACCCCCCCCAAAAAAGCGAAATGAGACTAGATAATCCTGAATCTTGAGTGACTGCTGTAGGTTTTATTTCAGGCTTCAAACACATTTTTGATTTTGTTTTTCATCTAAATATTTCTGTAAGCCACTCCACAAACAAAGGGATAGAACATCAGTATATAATGGTCATCATTTGATCCCAAGGGGAAAAAAAAATAATGTATGCTTAAGGTAGGTCCCATACACTTTTCTGAGTGATGGTCCAGAATCTCTTTCCTCCTTTTTGTAGCACACCAGAAGTAGGTTCATAGGACAGTTATGGGAGACTCCATATCCCCAATGGAAGAGCTGGAGGTAGGCACTGAACTCTGGTCAG